AAAAAGGTTACTCATATGCTACACGCATATGTTTATGTAGGATTATAGGAACAACGCTGTTGTTGTTGTTGTTGTTGTTGTTGTATTATATGTGTATTCTAATGATAATCAAAGAAAAGGTTGCTCTAACCACAACTTTTTTCTTCTTCCCCCGTCTGTTATGAAGTGAATTTCTTAAAATGAATAACGCCCTTTTTGTACAATTAATTGAACTTTTTTGCCTTATATAGACATCGCTATAAACAAACAAACACACACATATACACTCACTTATGCACACGCATAGAGAGTCATGAAATTACTACGCGTTTAGAGATTAATTTTGAACGGTTCCTGGAAAAACATAACTCTTATGCTTTGCCACATAACACATAACGTCATGCATCTGTTTATGAAAACACCGATAATGATGACGTCGGTAGTCAGTCAAACAATTTGATTTCTTTTACATGCTTTAGGTGCTCGTATGGAGGGGGGGTTTATCATAGTCGCAGTTAAAAAAAAGAAGAAGAAAAAAACCTCAAAAACTATAAAGTGTTGATATAATCGTGAAATATATTAAAAACACTCTTGAAAGTTGTTGAACATAAGGCATTAAATGCACAAAATAAAATATGAATAAGCGAGTAAGCAGCCAACAACGCAAGGCATTAAAATCCTGAACGAAGAGTTTGCCTTTTATGAGATGCGTTTCCTTTAACCAACTGCGCCGTCATGGTTAACATTATCATGATCGCTTGACTTCTATACTACAATTTTTTAATTCCCTCTCTCTCTCTCTCTCTCTCTCTCCCTCTCTCTCTCTCGCTCTCTCTCGCTCTCTTAATCATTTGCTTGAAGTAACATCAGCAAAAGCTTTAGATATTGTTTTCTTTTTTTTGCTCTTTTTCCGCCGCCGCGCATTTCCTTTGTAAAATTTTCAATTGAGCAAAAAATTTAAATATTGATAAGACACCCGCCCATTTATTTATTCCTTCAACTTTGCATATATATAATAAAAAAATTGAAGCTTCTGTATTTTATTTCATTTTACTTGTTGTGCGGAATATAATTGATAGACAGACGTAAGACGAGACTGATTGATAAAACCGATGATTATTTTTTTACAGTTTTGTTTGGTTTCTTGGCTTCAGAGGACAATTAACTTGTACCCCGAATGCAAACAACATTTAATTATTTTCTTAGCGAAATGTTTTGGCCGATCTTTAATGAAAAGCTTAACAGAAACTTTACGATCCCCTGCAAAGTTTTTAAGTCTTAAATGGTTAATAAAATCGTTTTTGTACACTTATATCGCTCTTCTGGCGCGGACAGCAGTGATTTGCTGATTTATTCCACAGTAAAATTAGGAAGTTTTATTGCCACTGAAATGTACATCGCATTAACATAAGGATTTTCTTAAAGTTAACTAAAAAAAAAAAATATTTACTAACAAATACGATTAGAAAAAAAAATTAATATCAATAGCACTACGGAAAGGATTAATTTTAGAAATTTAATCTAACGGTTAAAAAGCAGAACTATGAGTGTATGCTCGTAGAAAACAGATACCGCTGTTTTATGGAAAAGCAGCGATAACGAAACTTGTAGAATCGTTGTCCGCAGGTAAAAGTATTGGAAAAAGTAATGACAATTCGGGAATAGTGCTAACGAAGTAAGCTACACGATCAAAGGAAGCCTTGCGATAAGTCGGAATACTAAACTGATAACTGAACTCTAAAATGAAAAGAGTACAGTTAAGATTTTGCTTGACTTCCAAAGCTCCGACGACTTGCAAGAATCAAAAAAGTTTCATCTTAGTCCCGGACTTTTTGAGGTACTAATCATCCCATCGGCTCTATTTTAGAAAATAAAATTAGATATTGAGCCTGGTAGTTTTAATAAAATAATATATGAAATTGAGAGATATCCCGATGCGATATGCGGTTCCTAAGATAACGAACATGTTTAGGCAATCATAGAGAATGCGCTTTATTGTAAGAATTTTTGCAGCTTGGAGAAGAAGATTTCTTTAGGATCTATTGTGTGGTGTGTTGCAATTGTATGGCTAAAGCGAATTCTTGCAAATATTTATATTTATTTGATATAATGGCGGAACTACGAGTGGGTTAAGAGAGGAGTTGTACTGGTCATAGTATTGCTTCCATAATTTTCTTTTGAGCTTTTTGGCAGTGCATATTTGGAAGAAAAACAGTTTCGCGATATAGTCCATAAACCGAAATGCAGAATCAGCAGACTTCGTTGCTCGATCAGCTTGTTCATTACCCGCCAGACCGATATGACTGGGTATTCAAAGCGTTTTAATCTTATCATGATATAATAATCTTACAATGGCATTCCTTAATTTGTTATATACCGTCCAGTTCGAAGTCGAAAGATCCCGGATAACTTTTAAACCAACAATTCTTTCGGTTAATATTGGAAGTGCCTGTTAATTTTCTAGACTTTTTGGGTAAAATTGAATGCCTACTTTGGGTCTTAGTAGGAAGCGGGAAATGCGACATCATATGGATGGTGTTTGGGAAGAACTTGCCTTTGGAGGCTGTTGTCGAAAGAATTAATCTTTAGATAATGTCATAAGAACAGACGCAGGCCACAAGTTCCCAAATGAGCAAGTCCCAACAACTCGGGATATATTCTGGTTAATTAAAGTTTCTACCTCGAACATTTCATACCGTTGCGATATACCGTTGACGGATTAAAAGACTGTTTTATAATATTTTTTGATATGTCATGACTATCTTGCCTTTCTAGTAAATGACTCGATTGCCGCAGTTATCAGTGATTGCTGTTAGCGTTCTCCAACGATATTTTCGTCGAGTTGGAGCGGACCGTTATGCAAAAAACGTAGTTGATATATAGCTATTTCCAAAGCGTGCTTCATATAGGATAGCTTCACCAATACCTGGTGAACTGAACTATATATATATATATATGTATGTTATATATATATATATATATATGTATGTTATATATATATATATATATATGTATGTTATATTAGCTTGGGGAAAAAGAAATCCATTATTTTTATATGAACTTCAGGACTTTATTTAACATGCTTCGTATTGTCCAATTTTGTATCATTAAAGAAATTTTGCAATGCAAGAAAAAGATGATAATCGCTTGGTGCCAAGTCCGGACTGTATGGCGGATGCATTAAAACTTCCCAACCAAGCTCCCGAAGTTTCTGGCGAGCCACTGTAGATGTGTATGGCCTAGCGTTGTCCTGGTGGAACACGACACCTCTCCTGTTGGCCAATTCTGGCCGTTTCTGGTCAATCGCTATCTTCAAACGGTCCAGTTGTTGACAGTAGAGATCAGAATTTAGCGTTTGGCCATATGGAAGCAACTCATAATAAATAATTCCCTTCCAGTCCCACCAAATGCATAGCAAAACATTCCTGGCCGTTTGAGGTGCTTCACCGCTCTTTGACCACAATCGTTTTCGCACAGGGTTATCGTATGTGATCCATTTCTCATCTCCAGTCACCATCCGTTTAAGAAATGGGTCTATCTCATTCCGTTTGGCCAAGGCTTCGCAGATGGAAATTCGATCCATCATGTTTTTTTCTGTTAATTGGTGTGGCACCCAAACATCGAGCTTCTTTTTGAATCCAGCTTTGTGTAAATGGTTTAAAACTATTTTATGGTCGATTTTTAGCTCCTGGGCGATGTTACGACTGCTAACATGCCGGTCAACTTCGATCATTTCTCCGATTTTATCGACATTTTCGAGCACCGGCCTACCTGTGCGAGGTGCATCTTTAACATCAAAAATTCCTGAACGGAATCTACGAAACCAAAATTGCACATAATTGGCTGTTACAGTATCGGAACCATAACCACCATTCACAATATTAGCCGCCTGGCTTGCATTTTCGCCTTTGTCAAAGAAAAACTGTAAAATGTACCGCATTTTCTCTTTGTTCACTTCCATTTTTAATACGCTGTAACTCACAACTGAATGTACCAAACAAAAAACAGCAAAAGAATTTTTTTTACTGCGAAATGTCACCTTTCCAACGAGCATAAATCTGAAATTGTTTGATCGATACTTTACGAGAAATCTATCAGTGCAGCCATCTACCGAAAAAATTATGGATTTCTTTTTCCCCAAACTAATATATATATATACATGTATGTTAATAGATCGCCTTGTGTGGACTACGAAATTTTTTACTTCGGCCTATCGTTGCATATCCATTTTTCGTCACCCGCCACGAGGCAGTGACACGTATTTTCAACTTAAGCAGGAAAATTAACACTTCCGGGCATGGAGTCTCTGGCACAGAACTCAAACAGTTCAAAGCTAAAAAACTTTTGTTTTTTTAACTTCATATCAAAGTTATATACTACGGCGGAAAGGATAAAGGTAATACTTCCACATAGTAAAATAATACATACAATGGTGTTAAACAAAAAAAAAATTAATAATCCTATTCATCGGCAGCGTTTCCATAACTTGTACGTTTTAGTTCGGATGAAATTCTGAAATATAACAATTTTCGAGTAATTAAGTCCGTAAGTGCCCTCCCATGTTAATTATGTCGAGACTTTTCGTCTGTTATGCCATCAACAGCATTCAATCTTGGACGAAGTGTTACTCAGAGTGCATATGTACATAAGCATATAACGGAGCGTTGTATGAGCCATTAATTACGTCACGAATTAACTAAAGCGCATTTGTTATCCAAGCTTGAGTATGATTAATGTCATGCCAATATCGACAGCTCTTGCATATTTTTTCATCATGCGTACCGAAACGATATCGGAAGAGGCATTTAAGACACCATAAGACATCCAAACTTTTGCTCATCAAGTTTTCTTCTATTCCACTCATGTAATCTGACTACAATTTTTGTGCTTTAAGATTTTCTTTTTTTCGTCAAAACGATTGTATATTTTTCATTCAGAAATTAGAAATAAAGCGAGCGCTTCATGATAAATTTTCTTTAGCCAAACTATCGATTAATCTTGGTTTACTTCTTCTTGTACAGGATTTCTGCTGCAACCATTTCGGAAGCCGAAACGTGTACGTACAGCCTTCTCACCGACACAACTATTAAAATTGGAGCACGCTTTCGAAGAGAATCATTATGTTGTGGGTGCCGAAAGAAAGCAATTAGCACAAGGTTTAAGCCTAACAGAAACTCAGGTAAGCGAAATTTATATACAAAAGTTTGTAAAAGATTTCTCGATAATTTCTCGCTTATGTGATAAGACCTTAAATGAAGAGCATGCTTTTCTGAAGATTATTTCTCCCAATATATATGTTCGCGAAAAAGGGGAAAACGTGAACCGCATGAACGCTTTGTCTTTAGTAATATTTTGAAATGATTAATGGTTTTTTCAACGACTCTCTCTCTCTCTCTCTCTCTCTCTCTTTCTCTTTCTCTCTCTCTCTCTCTCTCTCTCTCTCTCTTTCTCTTTCTTTCTCTCTCTCGCGCTCTCTCTGCCCAGTCTTTTTTCATTCTTCATTTCTTTATTAGTGTTCTCGAAGCAGTTGAAACTTAGCACAGATCGAAAGCAAGCTAAGAAGAGAGAGGGGACGTGCTATTTAACAAGGCTCTTATTGTCAGATATCTAAAGCAATTGTAACTGGATTTACCAATGGCTCTCCGTCGCGCCGTCTATTACCACTATTACAGACTTTAGGACACAAATATAGGGTCCGAAAGGTGACATTTGATACATGACAATAATAGGCCAATAATAATTAATACAAGTAGCTCCAGCAGTTGGCGACCTAACGAAAGCGGGAGAAAAAACAATTAAAAAAATATCCCTTTTACGGACCTATGATGTATAAGAGTTACCGAAATATATATTTCAGGTTAATGGTGCTATGATCCCTAGCTAGACCGTAATAATTAACGAAAATCTCCTTGGGGCACCTTAAACGTTGGAACTTTACGATTCTTTCCAAGATAATTTTAATGGTGTGAGTTGTATTTTCTATCATATACATGCGGCAAAAATGGGATGAAGAAATCCCTGTTTACAGCTCATTTATAAAGTGTAGAATTAAACCAATCAAATTACGCTAATTTCAATTTATTACACATGGAATATTAATGATCCAACATTAACACTCCGTAAAAAAATATACATATATATATATATATATGTATATGTATATATAAAAAAGAAGAAAAGAATACGAACCCTCTTTGAGTTGTGTGCCTAATAAAATAATAATAAAAATACCTTAATACCAATCCCTTCAGTTGGCTGTAAGGTACATTTATCTATTTGAAAATCGCCTGCGATTGAATAAAGCGCATCAAATTCAATAAAGCATTTCATACTTTACACTGCCGACATACCAGAAAATCGCATAGCACTCACTCACATTCATTGAAGCAAGCAACCCGACCCTATGGAAAAATCAAGTTTTCTTCTTTTTCTTTTTTTTTTAGTTTTATTTTTACGGTAATTCCTGGCATAACTGTTATTAGTAAATGCAAGGGCGGCACAGGGCTGAAACA